GTGTCTTCATACATGTACTTTGGATAATGATGTCCATCCCATTCCACCATCATTTCTAACCCCATGCCCCCTCCCTTCCCCTCCCACCCCTCTGCCCTATCTAGAGTTCATCTATTCCTCCCATGCTCCCCCTCCCTACCCCACTATGAATCAGCCTCCTTATATCAGAGAAAACATTCAGCATTTGGTTTTGGGGGGATTGATTAACTTCACTTAGCATTATCTTCTCTAACTCCATCCATTTACCTGCAAATGCCATGATTTTATTCTCTTTTATTGCTGAGTAATATTCCATTGGGTATATCTGCCACAATATTTTAAGCTTGACAATCAAACCAAAATAGATTGCACTGTCTACCAAGATCCATGTCAAGCCCACATAAGTATACACTGTGGCTTTACCACTTTTAGACTTGAAAGTGGCTGTCCTTAGGGGAGCAGATTTATCTATTGGTTGGTTCCACAGTTTAGCTATTGGGAATTGTGCTGCTATAAACATTGATGTGTCTGTGTCCCTGTAGTATGCTGTTTTTAAGTCCTTTGCATATAGACCAAGGAGAGGGATAGCTGGGTTAAATGATAGTTCCATTCCCAATTTTTCAAGAAATCTCCATATTGCTTTCCATATTGGCTACATCAATTTGCAGCCCAACCAGCAGTGGTTCCTTTTTCCCCCCAACATCCTTGCCACCATTTTTAACCAGAAAGCACACCATCACCAGACACCAAATCTATTGGCACCTTGATCTTAGACTTCCCAGCCTCTAAAACAATGAAATATGTTTCTCTTGTTAAAAGCTATGAATTTTGTGGCATTTTGTTATAACAGCCTCAGTAGACTAAGGCACATTTTCAAATCGGCAGGCAGAATCTATAAATGATACCCTTCACATTGGGGTCATCATTTCTCCATTTTAAATCCCTTTACTCTGATTTGGTGATTTGATAAAGAAGAGAACCTCTGGTCTGGCTCATCCCACCCTAGTCTAGCTAGCTCATCCCTGTGGAGTGGAGGACATATGTGACTTGCTCAGTTAGCAGATCCAGACTCTCTGTGTGTCTTTCCACACATCTGTGGTGTCTCTGATTTGTGGCGTCTTTAGCTGATGAGCATTGATGGCCGTCTCCAGGCAAAAGTCCCAGCCCTGCCCAGCCACCGTCTGTTCTTCAGATGCTGGACCAACCTTGTCATCTCTAGGTCAAGGTCACATCACCCTCAGGTTGGAGACCCTTCAAAATGTTGCCAATACTCTTCAAGCAAGACTGGAAAAGTCGTCTGATGGCCTTCCGTTCCCTCACCCTGCCTCTTTCCTGGAGTGGTACTCTCTTCATTCTCTGTGTTACTCCTTCAAAATAAACCATCTAATTTGGTTGTAGCAAATTCAGCGAAGGAAATTTCAAGTTGGTGAGAAGACCTACAGAGGGGTCTTCATAGCCTACCTTCAATGGCCTTATAACATAATCACCTGTTCATTCCCGTCTGCTTTTAAGTGATAAACAATATTTTAAACTTGATAATCAAACCAAAATAGATTGCACTGTCTACCAAGATCCAGGTCAAGCCCACGTAAGTATACACTGTGGCTTTACCACTTTTAGACTTGTCGATGGCTGTCCTTAGGGGAGCAGATTCATTTGGATGCTCCCTAGACAATCTGGCAAGGTCCTTTAGGAATGATAGGATTGAAAGCCTGTCCTTTGCCTAAGGTCACGTGGTGACAGATGACCAGATACTGAGTAATTGCAAGGAGGAAATGAAGTTGATTCCAATAGGACAGCTGGAGAAAGGACTGGAATTCGTAGATTCAATAAAAGCTCCCTACACTCATTTTATTTTTTCCTACTACAATTTGAGATTTGGAGGTCGTTACCCTCATTTTTCTACTGAGAGAACAGGTTAAAGGAATGAAGGGTCTTGTTTCAAGTTGCATCGCTAATCAATGATAGGGATTGGACTGGAATCAGATTCTAACTCAAGACCCGTGTTTTTCTACACATCTGTGGTGTCTCTGATTTCTGGAGTCATTGGCTGGGGAGCACTGATTGTCATTTCCAGGCAACAGTCCCCACCCTGCGGAGCCCCCACTTGTTCCTCAACACCTCACTCTGTTTCTGTGACTCCTCCCTCTCCACTCCAGGGCCTGCTCATTCGATCGGGGATGAAGGGAGCTGCTCTGAGTCCCTACCATCATTTGATCTTCCAACCCTGACCCCAAATGCCTTCCTCTGGCCATACTCCTTATCGTTCCAAGCCCTTTGGGCCAGTTGTTTTCTTTCCTTTCTTTCAAATGGCTCCATCAAAACAAAGTTCTTGATGACTGCCTACTTAAAAAAAATTAAAATAAAAACCACATTTAAGCCTCCCTTCCTTCTGTTTCTTACATGCTGAATGAAGTTCAAAGCTTTGGCCTGGCATCAAGGTTCCCTGTGATCAGGGCCCCATAAATGTGACCGAGCCTCCCCTGCTTCCAATCACAGTTCTGCTGTCACTTAGTTATAGCTTTGCACACAGTTGGTCTTGCAATTGGTAAAGAGTAAGATCATTTTTATGCTCAATCTGTCATACAGTCTAGTTCCTAGTGGATGCTCAATGGTGACCTGTTGAATGGGATGGCCTCATGCCTGTTCTTGGAAGCATGGTCTATGTGGCCTCTGTAGAGCACTTCACTCCATCTGGGGAAAAGTCTGGAACTATTACCCTGTGCATAGACACTAACATGCAAAGGGCTGAGATTAGCTCTTGTGCATACACTGAGGGATGGATGAACCCAGACAATAATTGTAAGCATGCTACCAAAGCAACTTAGTGATTCTAAATCATGACAGCAAGGTGTATTTCTAGAAACTGTATCTGAAAACTACTGATTTCTGATATTGATCCCTCAAGTTGTAGCTGCTCAAGACCAAGTTAGAAGGAGCTGTGTTTGAAATTCCACAGACATGCCAGCACTGTTTTAGGGCTATGTGCTGGGATACCAAGATGGCTTATAGAGGAGCTTACACACTAATGGGGGTTGGAGTAGACTGGGGAACAAACCCACAGGTACTAATGGCGGTACCACAAAACAATCGCATACAGGTAGGAATGGCTGGGAGATTGAAGATTAAATGAGAGAGTCTATGGATAGTTCCTATACAGTGCCTGGCAGAGTAGATGCTCAATAAATAATAGTAAGTCACACATTTAGCTGGGTGCACAGATGAGCAAGGTCTCTGCCTGTCCCTGATTGCCATGACTCTTCCTCCCTGCATCCAACCACCATCTGCTCCAGTCTGGTCTGATCATAAGAAACACATCAAGTTCTTTGCCTCTTCCAAAGGGAGAAGCTGTTCTTTATGCCAGGAGCCCTCTGTTCCAAGCTGGCAAGACTGACTCCTGTTTGCCCTTCAGACCTCAGGATAAATGCCACCTCCCTGGAGAGGACTTCCCTGACCGTCCATCACACTCGGGTTATTCTCTATCACAGATCGGTTATTTCTTCCTGTGCAATCCCCAGAAGCTGCTTTGCTTCTTAGCTTGTATATTGTCCCACGAGACTTCAAGCTCCAGAAAGAGAAGGTCCAGCTGTTGTTTTCACTGTTGGGTCTCAGTACCTGGGAATGCTCCTTGCACCATCAGCATGTGCTCGTTCCTGGGGAGCTGGAAAGGCCTCACAAATGATGGTACATTGGACTGCAGCCTTGTAGATGGAACAGGGGTTGCGAAGGCAAGATGGCAGGAAAGGACTGTCCTTCAGAGGGAAGGAAGTACCAAGGGAAGGACTTCATTGTCATGAGCGGCTCTGTCCAGGGGAGGACAAGGTTCTGAGTTCAAACCAGCATTGGTCATTGGAACAGAAATAAACCCCAAAGAATGGCAGCAGAGGGGACAATGCATACAGCTCAGAGGCTGAAGACTAAGTCCTCTTCCTCTCAGTTCTTCTAGAGGTTTTCTGGGTTGGACTTTTTTTTTTTTTTTTTTTTTTTAATGATAGGATCACCTCATTGGACAGGGGAGATCTTATTAAGGGGCCAAACCTAGTTTTCAAACAATAATAATGAAAGAAATTATAAGTATTACCATTTATGGGAATCCTACTGCTGTAGTAGATATTTTAGACACTCCCAGACTGGCATTTTCCTCTCTCATTTTCAGTGGCTGAAACTAGGATCTAAAGAGAGTGAACAACACGTGAAGAGTCACAGGGCTAGGAAGTGGTGAACAGAGTTTCACTGCCTCTGACTCAAAAGCCAGGGCTCTTGACCACAGTCTTTCTCTTGGGCTGGTTTATCTCACAAGTCAATCAATGAATTGGGTTTGGCTCAGTCCCTTGTGGGTTGAGTCATCATAAGTCAGACTGCCGGAACCTGTTCCTCCCCAGGAAGCTGATCCAAACCTAATCTTTAAACTGACAAGGCCGAGGGCAAGGCTCTGGACTTTGGTAACCCCATGACAGGGCTGTTACACCCTCTCCCCGCTCAGAGTAGAGATTGCTTCTCCCTGGGGCAGGAGCCAGGGGACTCATGGGGTCAGTTATTGCAGATGTCTTGCTTGGGTCTGTCATGGAGCAGGGAGGCTGAGCCTGGATGGGGAGGCCTGGTTTGAAGTTCAGCTTTTAGTGACAGAGCAACCCTGGCTTGGGCAGGTTTCCTCACTACTCTGCCCTTCACCTTCACCTTAAAGTGGGGACAAGAACAATCTCATGTTGTTGCTGTATTACATGAAAAACATGTGGCGTGCCCAGCCCTGTGCTCATCCCACTGCAAGCTCTCAACAAGGAGAAATTCTTTGTCATTACGGTTAGTAGTGTCAAGGGCAAGTGCAGTGGGATAGAGTTCCAATCTTGGCACCACCACTTGCAACCATGTGGCTTTGGGAAGGCTCCTGAACTTTCTCTTGTCTTTAAACTCTGGATAATTTAGAAAATTTTGAGTAAGGAAGCCAGTTGCCTTCATTTTAAAATTAAAGTTGGCATCTGTGGAGGAATTAGGAAACACCAGAGCATGGTGTTGCTTGGAGCATGGTGAGCATGGTGAGCACAGGACTTAGGGAAGGAGAGGCCTCCAAGGGATGGGTAAGTCCATCCTCAGGAGCTCTCCCCATAGAAATGCAGTTCCTAGGTACTCAGCACTCCCTGGTGTGACTCTAAATCTCTGGTACTGCTTCCATGCCCCCAGACGACCTGCCTGGATCATAGCACTCAGCCTCTTACAGGTGGAAAAGCTCAGCTCATTCTGCACCCGAGTCTCTTAGTAACGGAAGTCCAAGTCTTTGTGAGTTAATGTTAAGACATTGACACCCTCTGAGGGGCCCCACGTCATTGAGCTTCTGGGCCTCCAGGCTGAGAATTTATTACTTTCAGATGGAGGCCCCACTGAGTTACTATCACTCTGGGGCCTTACCAGAACTGGCAACCGATTTTCCTGAGGGCACCAGTCTCTTCCAATCATCTTCTTTATCTGGAATGATAAAGGGTTGATAGATTAAATGCCTGGGCCTGGCATACACTAGATGCTCATCTAATGCTGATGCTTTCCTCATTTCATGTAATCTCTATGACCTGTCTTAGAAGAGATTGTGATCGCCCTTCAAGGCTGGAGCTCTGTCTCCTATTGCTCTGGTTTCTGTCCCTTGCTCCCTAGTCATACCTCTCTGGCATTATCTTATTCATACTAGTGGGTTTTAGCCATCCTGACTTTCCCCCACATGCTGTTCATGCCCCCTAGGTGAGCCTCGCAGCAGCTACACAGTGGAGCACAGCATGCCCAGCAACATGGCACCCAATTCTAGAGCTATCAATCTTCATTTCCACCTCTGGGCCTCCATTTCTCCCATTCGTGAGATGATGGCATTAGGCTAGCTCCTCACACGCAGTGCTTGTGTAAATGAATGATCCCATCCATCCACCCACCGACCCAAGGCACCAATGTTTAGCTCCTTCTCAGGTTGTGTGAGGGACAGCCACAGGAAGAGAGTTGAGTGACACGTGACCGACCGGGGCTTCCAGTCCCTGACAACCAGGGTGAAGACACATCTCAGCAGCTTGAGAAGAGGGCGGTAGAGGGACACCTCCCTGAGCCCCGCTCCCGGCCCCGCCCGGGCTCTGGCCATCCTGCGGTGGCTCTGCGGAGCGGTGGGGCCCCGGGGTCGCCGTGTTCGGGTGCAATTCCTCCTCTGCGCGCATTACTCAGCGCGCTGCAATGTCTGCCTCGCTCCAGCCGGCGCTGCGGGTCCTCCCAGAGCGCAGCACAATGGTCTTGTTGTGGGCCTGCAGCCCGGGCGGCAGACGAGCCTCTCGGTGACTCACTCTCTTGCCATTTCCTTTGTGTGGCTCCCAGGCTGGTCGCTGGAAGGGAGCGGGTGGCTGCGGGCGGGGGGCGGAGACGCGGCGGCCGCTCGCCAGCGCTGCGGCTCCGGGAAGGGGACAGCTCTGGCCGCCGCCCTCGGGCTTTCATGTGGGCTGGGGGCTCCCGCACGCCCAGAGCCTCCCGAGGCTGCCAGCGTCTGGCGCGGGGACGACAAGAGGTTTGCAGCCGCGCCTGTGCACGACTCAGCGCCCGCGGTGGCGGAGGCACGTGTTCCCCATCAGGCCTTCCTCCGTTCCTGGTCCCCTAAACGGACACATCTTTATGAAAAAGTGAAAATTAACCATGGCAGGGAACCTTCGGACGGCTTGCGAAACAGCGCGGGCTGCCAGCCTTTTGGTGGGTCTTTGGTACCAGCTCCAATGCGCTGTCAGCAGCTGCAGAACCTGGCATTGGAGGGTGAGGGGCAAGGGGAGCATCTGTCCTGGCTCAGGGCTCAGGGGATGGGCTCCTCGCGCTCAGCACCCGGGTCAAGGCGAGGGCTGAGTATTCTCGGAGGCAGTGGGGCCAGAGGGCACTTAATGAACAGTCCATGGACCAATAGACAGTGCACTAGGAGCCTGGAGACTCTCCCGCAGGTTAATTGAGGGATCTCTAGCAAGTTTTTACAGAGGAATTTCAGGTATCCTTCAGAGCAGGTCATAAGCTGTGCTGCAAGGCCTCTGGGCCCACTCCGGCCTGAACTGGCTGGCTTCGCATCTGCCGTTTATACTCAGCTATTCTAAACAACTTGTGCTTTCTGCAGCACCCCAGATTCTCACTCACCTCCAAATTCTGCACAAGCTATTGCTGCTGCAGGAAAACCCACACCCTCCTCTTCAAGGGCATCTGGTTGTCTTCCTTTCTAGAGTCAGTTCAGGTGCTACCTGGGGGTAGGGACTTCTCTCTGGAATCTGGATGGGTGCTTCTTGGCACTCTTATAAGAACCTTTGCAAAGCCCTCTCACAGAGCACACCACCCAGCCCGCTCTGCCTTAACTGCTTGGGCACAAGAGGAATCTGAGGGAGGTAGTAAGTGAATGAATGAGTGAGTGACCCACTGGCTGACTGAATGAAGGATTTGGGCAAGAAAGTTTCTTTACACACCAGTGCTCCTTGGGTGGGTACTGAGACAAGCCCTACAGGACGCCTAGGAAACCAGTTCTAATTCCGACCTTGCTTTCTCAATGTTTAGGGACCTCCTGTTCAACTGCACTATTGTGAAGTTATTGCCCTGGACTGAAGAGGGACCCTTGAGGATCAAGAGTGCCACTGGCATCAGTACATAGGGGCAAAGCCAACACACTGTTTGTAACCACACTGTGGAAATAAAAGCATGGATGATACAGTGATGTTACACCTGTTTCTCTTGAACCAGGTTAGCAGGTCACTTATGAGAACCATGATGCAATGGATGTGGGGAATCATCCCTCCATGCTGCTATGTTTTTTGGGGATTTGCAAAACTTCCCTAGCTGTTGGTCTCAGGGATGTGAGTAGGCTGGGTGAAGATCTTTCTTGCCCCTGTCTTTGAGATGGGCCTCCTAAGCCTTAAGAAAATTGAGTCTTGCTCAATGTCCACAGAGAGTAAATGGGAAGAAGGCAGGTCTTGCTTTCTTCAATACATCCTGAGAATCTAGTAAATACATCCTGAGAATCTAGTAAAAACTATACCAGGCATGGTCTCACCATCACTTACTGGGCTTGTCAGGGAGATGCACATGAAAGGATCACAGGAGGTGGGAGCCAGAGGAAGGAGATATTTGGTCTGGCTGTGATGTCGGGGAAGTCTGTGTAGAGAGGAGACTTTTGAATGGGGTCATCAAAGGTGGTTAAGAATGCTGTCCCTCCCCCCCCCAAAAAAAAGAAAGAAAAAGAGTCTCCTGAAGATGGAGGGAAGAAAGGAGAACCTGGTGGGGTGGAGGCCATGGCAGGAAGCATGACATCACATGGTTGACCTTTGGCTATCCTGTATTAGTTTTTCCAATTTTGAGCAAACAGGGACATAAGAGCACATGTAATGGTATGTGAAGGTGAAGGTCCTAGAAGTCTGTTTAAAACACCATTCTTAGAATCTCATCTCTGTGGTAATGAACTGAACCTGTGTGAATTCGAGCATCATCATTGATTGAACAAAAAACTGGGGTAATTATTACAGTATTATGAACTGAATATTTGTCCCTTTCTGTTGTGGAAGGATACAGTGGGCAGCCTTTCCAGCATCCAGGAGAACCCTACCATGATGACACCCTGATCTCAGATTTCAGAAATAAATTTTTATTGTTTAGAAACTACCCAGTCTTTGGAAGCTTGTTATAGCTACCCAAAATACCCAGGAAAGAGAGGGCTATAAAGGGGACAAGGAGGATTTTATTTTTTATTTTTATTTATTCTTCTTAGATATACATGACAGTAGGATGTATTTTGTCATATTATACATATTGTACATGATGTGGAGTTACCCTGGTGGCATGTTCATATATGAGCATAGGAAAGTTATGTCTGACTCATTCTACTGTCTTTCCTATTCCCATCCCCCTTCCCTTCCCTTCATTCCCCTTTGTGTTCTCCAATGAACTTCTATTCTTCCCTCTCCCATTGTGGGTTAGCACCTGCATATCAGAGATAACATTGGGCCTTTTGTGTTTTGGCATTGGCTTCTTTACTTAGTATGACAATCTCCAGTTCCATCCATTTACTAGCAAATGCCATGATTTCGTTCTTCTTTATGGCTGAGTAATATTCAAGGAGAATTAGTTATTATTTATTATTTTATTATATTAATTTATTATTGCAAGAAGGGAAAACTACATCATGTCAGGCTCAAGCAGGGAAAGGCAAAAAGCACACCCATGCATCTACCTGAGACATCATCCTGAGCCTGCTTTAACCGATAAGTAATGGCCTCTCTTAGAGTGTCCCCTGCATGACTTAGTTGGAGTGCCCCTAGCTCCTCAGATATACCGTCCCTCTCCCCACCTCTTTCCTTTCCCCTTGGTTCTCATTCTGTGAACTCCAGAGTTATCTTGGCTGGTAATGGGGAGAACAGACCAGAAATATCCATCCGGGTAAGCCTACGTGCTCCATTCCCGTTTCTCTTGGGAAGAAAACAAAAATGCAAGTAGAAAGTTGAGAGAGACTGAGCCAAGCTGTATATGACCTTCAGCTGCCACAAGCCCCAGAGACCCACATCAGCAGCACCCATGAGCTCCTGTTTCAGCCAACGCTGTGGTTCTCAGCATGGGTCCTTACTGTAGTCTCGGAACACCTTTTTGTAGACATTCTTGTATTCGATTCTGCTACAATGATGATTCCACCAATGGCCAGTTCTAATTCTCCCCTCCTTCTTACTGAATTCTAGCTTCTTGCTGAAATGGTGGAATCCAGCAGGTCATACAGTTATCAGACATTCCTGCTCCTGGGTTACTGATTGCCACAGAGGTGCACATGTGATTTGGGGCACAGATTGGCCAAGCCAATCACTTTATTTTTTGATAGAATATTAACTAAGAGACACAGAGAGTTAGGAGGATGCTTGAAATGGAAGGTCCTGAGAGAACAGGACAGGAGTTGGTATTGTGCATAACAAAATAGGAGTCAGGCAAAGCCTAAATTACAAAGATAAAACCAAGAGCCTTACAGAGAGGTCCAGGCTACCAAGAGAAGAGAGTTGATGTACAGAGAAAGAGGCAATGCGAGACTCTGTATCCCTTGAAGGACAGACATGGGAAACTTTTTCTATTTCTTTATGACCCAACATTACTCACTTCTTGTCCTCAGAGGTCAATAACACTCCCCTATAATCTCAAAATAACCTTTTTTAAAAAAAAAAATCAAAATTGATTGAGAAGGTACTGTCTTTGTTGCCATCAAACAAATAAGAAAAGTGTTCAAATCAAAGACTTGGTGTATGTGACTTAACCCTTAGAATCCCTTGGCTCATCTCAATAAACATTCATAAACATCTCTCATGTGCCGACAGAGGTATTCTTAGAAAAATTGAGAACCAGGGTCTGTCCTCAAAGAATCCAGTAAGATGTGGTCTGGGAAGAGCTGTTTCCACTTTTAGGATACAAAGCAGTTTAGTAGTATCATCCTAAAAGAAAGGTAGTTGGAAGCTGAAGGTACCTCAGCTAGGGAAGCAGGAGGAGCTTGGTGGAAGAGGACCTTCAGAGATGAGTGGAAATTCATTTTGCAGAGAAAGGAGGAATGCAGAGGTCAAGAAGCAGAAGTCTGATTGCAGGAAGGGATGTCATATGGAGGGGAACACAGTAAACTGCATGGGTTGGGAGAAATATGGGGTTTATTCTAGGAATTAGAATTTTTGAGTCCTTCCATGTCTCTGACCTTCCAATATGGTGAGTCACCCACTTCTCCCATCAAGCTGTTCTCTCACTGCTTTGATTCCAAACTGCAGAGGAGGTGAGATCTGCAGCCTACCTCTTCTTGGCTATCTTGGGTCCCCCAGAAATATGGGGTTTGGAGGAATTATGATGGATGAGTCTGTAAGACTGACTTGATTGGGTTTAAAATGGACCTTGAGTGTCAGGCCTAGCTGTTATCACAGGATCATCAGAATGGATGTGAGATATTTTGCAGTCTAACTTAGGTGAGGTGCCTGTGGTGACAGACCACATCCTGAATGCTTATCTGATATTATCATTTCAATGGCAGGAATTCAAATTATTCCTTTCTCTTCAAGAACTTAGAGATCCTTCCAGAGGGGTCCTCTGACTCCCAGCATCTCAGGCCAAAAAGAACTAGGTCTTGAGAGTTTGCAGCGTGTCATCTGAAATAGCAGCTTATGATGGCCAAGAACAGAACAGGAACATTCACCATGAGCCAGCATCAGGCACTGTGCTTCTAAATCTTACAACACCTACTCTGTGAGGTGGCAATTGCAGTCTCTTTTCAGGTGAAAAGACTGAAGTTGTATGAGGATGTCCAACAGCTCAAGAAGAACTGGCCCACCTGCATCAGATTCCCTTGCCATGGGTGTCTTTCCCTCCTTCCTGCTCCCCTCGGAGGAGGCCTCCCTTCACACAGGTCTGCCTTCAAGGAAATATCACCATGCACAGAGGAACTAAAGGTCAACACAGAGGTGGCTATGTGGAGGGAAGAGATTACAGCTGGCCCTGTGGATCTGTGGGTTCTACGTCCTCTGACTCAATCATTTGCATATTGAAAATATTTAGAAAAAAATGCATCTGTACTGAACATGTACAGGCTTTTCATTCTTGTCATTATTCCTTAAACAATACAATACTAACATCTATTTCCATAGCATTTACATTGTGTTAGGTATTGTAAGTCACTTTGAGATGATTGGAAGTATAAAGAAAGATATGCCTAGGTTATCTGTAAATACGAGGACATTTTACAAGAGGAACTTGAGTGTCCACAGATCTGGGTATCTGCAGGGGGTCCTGAAACCAATCCCCCTGGATACCGAGGATGACTGTAGAATTATATGAATTGAGTAAAGCTCTAAACCACATGCACCAGAAGTCTACAGACACATTTAGCAAAATGTTTACTTACAATAAGCCTGAGCGAGCCCCCAAATTCAAAAGGAATTATCATCTTACGGACCCCTCTTGAGACCACACAGAGCTTCCGGCTTCCGGAGACAGCAGATGCTATTGCTTCCATGAATAATGTCATCACTCTGTACACAAGGGGGAACAGAGGAAGGAAGGCGTACAGATGGGGACAGGGAGGAGGGGCAGCAGTAGATCCTCTCTGGGGCTGTGCACAGCCCAGACACGGCTGGAGAGAGAGTGTTGTTCCCTGTACTTATGTTGGCAGCTTAGGAGACCAGGAGCCTTAGATGAGGGGCTAGTGGAGGGGGTAGCAAGCAGGGTGATGTGATCTGGGTGTGAGAGAACTCTAGAAGGAGCCATTATAGCTGGGGGGGGGGCAGGTGAACAGAGCAGATATTAAAGGACAACTGAAGCCCCTGAGAAATGTGGGCTCAGGCTGTGTCTAAACAGAAAGGCCAGAGAACTCTGCAAAGATCCCAGACTTCAGGGTGCATCAGAGCTCCCTGGGGAACCAGCTGAAGTCCTAGTTTCAGAGGAAATCCCCAGAGACCGAGTTTGGGATGGGGCCCAGCATTTGTGGCATTTGTGACTAGTTCCCCAGGAGATTTCATGCAGCCAGTCCTTGGGAAACACCAGCCACAGGATTTTTTTTCTCTGGACCTCAGTGCCCTGCTGCGTAAGTGGAGAGGGCTGTCAAAGACTATTCCTATTGTCACTGCCAACTTCCTGTTCTTTTTCATCTGTAATGCACACAGGTTGCCCCATACCTGCTCGGCTCTTGGCAAAAGCGTCCAGATGAGAGACTCTTGCAGCTCCAGCTGGTCTGCCCATTTGGGTGAAAACAAAGCAGCATCGTGTGTGTTCACATGGGCGTCCAAATGAGACAGTGTTCCTCTCTCTGGAGGCCACGGCTCAGGGCCAGGACGAAACCACTTCCAGGTCTCAGGTCACAAGATCATGCAGCATGATTTATTTAAGGAAGAATGCTCACAGGGCTCAAAAGAAATTAAACATGTGTATTTCTCCAGCAATTAGGCATGTGTTTTCCCTTGAAAAATAGTCCCCATGCCCTGCCTGGAAGACAAGCCAGGTTCTCAATGAAGCTGTGTTCCAATAGGCCTCTAGGAGGGGACTGTTTTCTAGCAGAGAAGCCACATGAAAGTCTTCACAGGAGCTTCACACTGCTCCCACGACAGCTCCAGCAGACTGGAGAATCAGGGAGTCCTGTCTGGAAAAATGAGACAGGCCGAGCCTGTGAGGTTGATTTCTGGTTCAAGTTTCCCAATGCGATGTGAAGGAGGAATTTTCCACTTTTCTTCATCCCGATTCACCTTGGCAGAGTCTTTGGAGTCCGAGGCTGGGCCAGGCGAAATCTGTTTCAGGTGGGCATCCAGCCAGACTTGCACCCCGATGAATAGTCCTTTGTGCAGGTCCCTGTATCAGTCACCTCCCATTGGCCAGGAAAGGACTCCTCCATCCTACTGCCTCCACATGATGTCTGCTTTAGCCCATCTGTTCTGGGAGGAACCTGCCAGGATATCAGGACAAGAAAATGTCATGGTGTCATGCAAGTCCACCGCACTGGACTTGAACTTAAGTGGGTAAAGAGGTCATTGAATATGAACGGACTCGCTGGAGTATTTTGTGGCAGGCTTTGGAAATCAAAAAGTCAATAAGAC